GGGGGGGGGTAGCATATATTTATATGTATACGGGTATGAATATATGTAAACATGGGTATATATATATATGTGCATATAGGTAATATACGGATAATGGAAAAGAAAATGGAAACTACTCTAGTATATTAGGGTTTTGTAGGGATAATGGGTAGGTCTGTAGTACCGTGCACCTGGCATCTGAAACAAGCCGAGGAAAAAGATCATGAAAGACTGGTGAGCCAGGCCTAAAAAAGGAGCGGATGGCTTCAGAGCCCCTTGACAAGAGTCGCACGATGTATCTACCACCCCCCAGCTAACATGTAAACCCCTTTAACCCGCCATTCAAATTGAGAGTAGTCTTCATGAGCTTCGGGGTCTCCATGTCAGTTTGGGGAGGGTATTTCCGCATGTCCAGGTTACAGCGGAGCTTAGTCATTTTCCAGTTCTGAAGGATGTGAAACTCGCAGCCTTCCTAATCCCATGGCCGTAGCACTGAGACAGAGATTTTCAGATAGATTCCTGTGACTACGGATAGACGGACACTGTAGTATACCATCATATGCTATAGTATATCATAAGATATAATAGTACATTTTAAGATATTATCTTGCTCCTGGTGAAGGCATGCCTCTGCTCAGTGTATGTAGGTCCTCCGGCCTGCTTCTGCGACTTTGACGGGACCCACGCTGCCACTGCAGTCAATAGTGCCAAATGGTTGTGTTTGTCGACGGCTGTTTGAGGCCCTAGTACCGCAAGACACCAGAAGCAGGCAAATTTTACAGGAACGCTCATGGGAACGTCTACTGACTTCCTGAAGTGTGCCCATCCAGGGCTGGAGGTCGCCAAGGATCTACCACAACTCACCCGCTGATGCGAGCAGCTTTGCACTTAGACGCGTCGCTCTTGCCGCATGGGTGAAAAGAGGACGCTGCATATGTTCAGGAAAGGGTGTGTGTTTGTCTGTGTGCGTGTGTAGCCGACACTAACAAGCTTTCAGGTAGCTACAGAGGGGCTGTTGGCATTCAAGCAGCGCCCTGTATTAGTGTCTACTGGCCCGTTAGTAAGGTTTCGCTACATGTGAATCAACAATAGCATCGCCGCCGCATTGTGTTCAGAAGGCACAAGCTTTACAAGCTCGCTGTTGACCTCAGACGCTGGTTTGTAAGTGCTTGTGGTCGGTACCAGCATTTATGGCTCGGCCTCATGAACTTTCCAAGGAAACATCCATGTAATGGTCATCAAGCAAGCTAGACCAACCGACTCAAAAAACCGTTAATTCAAAGAATGGGAGACATTCATTTTTTCTCAATGCCTGATTGCAATGCTCGCCGTGCTTGCTTCATCTTTGGCTGTTGGTGGCAAGCAGCCTCGTCAGTGGCTGTATCTTACTCGGTCTTAGTAGGGAATAGGGGAAAGGAATTCCTACATGACCTTTATATACTATATTCCCATATTCCCTGCTGAGAAACAGTAAGGTATTCACGGAAAAAGATGAGCTCCGAGCCTCGCTGTTGCGCTGGGTGTCTGCGGATGAAGCGGGGAGGCTTCGGTTGAGAGCGAGGAAGTCTAGTGGCGAGAGTCGTCACAGTAGTTGTAGAAGTACCCGTTGTCCTAGTACCAGTCGTAGTCATAGTCGACGTTGTAGTAGGAGCAGTCGTAGCAGCAGTGAGTAGTAGCAGCTGCAGCAGAGCTAGGCGTAGCACTAGGCGTCACAGTCGACGACCACGACCACGACCACGACTACTACTATTATTAGTACTAGTACTAGTACCAGTACGAGTACTAGTACTACTACTACTACTACTACCACTACTACTCCTACTACTCCTTTTACTCCTCCTCCTCCTCCTGCTGCTGCTGTTGCTGCTGCTCCGACAGCGACTAGCAGTCGCAGCAGTCGTAGTACGCAACTTGTTGAGGTAAGAGTAGCACTACGTCGCGGACAGCAACAACCACTGCTCTGCTGTTACTCCTACTACGATTGCGCCGATGCTGCCAGCATAACCAGAAATCCGCCCGTGAAGGGCTTAGGGCGTAAGTACCCGGTTAGGCAGCAACTCAGAGCCGAGCTTGGTGAAATTCGGAACTGGAACGTCTCGTCCGTGAAGGACATGAGCGGCCTATTTGGAAGGATGTCCACATTTAACGAGCCTTGGCTCTTGGTTCTTCAGCTTTCAGGAGGGTGGGCGTTCTAATGTTTCAGGGGAAATCATATGCAGGCAAAAGAGTGGACCTTCTTTCGTAAGGATCCCTCCGATTTCACACTAGAATTCCGCGGAGTTCCTCTTGCTTGGTCCCGGCATTTATTTGTTTTAAGTCTGGTAATTTGTGATATGGTCCTACCACAGTGGCGGCAAAAGATCCGCATACTGTAGCCGGCTAGAGAATGAGGGGACCCAGGAGCCTTTGGACCTGTGGGATACCTCATCCGTGACTGACATGAGTTTCATGTTCTACCAGGCCAGTGCCTTCAACCAGGACCCTGCATGACCGCATGTGACCGCCGCTTGTATATGCTATAAGCTATACCTGTCAATGGTGAAGTCTTTTTGGGAAAAATGCTTTGGCTACGGTGTTTGTCCATTTCATAACACATTCGCATGCCGTTGCCTGCAGAAGGGATACGGACTGTAGCGCGTACCAGGCTCAAGAAAGCAAAGTTTGGAGATCCGAACTCCGTGTTCGAAGCAATTTGTCGCTTCGAAGCTCGAACTAGAGATGCGACAGATTATTCGTCATACTCTTTGGTTTCTGTGGTGCAAAGCAGTGTGTTATGGCACAGCTCAGTCAGACACCAGTCAACTAATCAACTATGCATGCAGTTCGTACCTTGAAAAGACGAAAAAAGGTTTTTGAGTTTTGAGTATGGTAAGCCAACTACAGACCTGTGGAAGGAACCTAGCCGCCTAGCCAATCAGAAAGTCCGGCGAAGCGTCCACGCAGCCCGATGTCTGGAATAGCCTCCATCAACGACCTTCATGACATCGCAAAATCTGACGTGGCTAGTTCACCCTCTTAAGTCTGTGACGATGCCCCTTCTGCTCCTGCACTCCAGGCACTGCAAGGTAATTGTACAAAAGTTAAAAAGTCAAATGCCCTCAGGACGCATCCAGGCCTCAGAGCTGTCCTCTTCCTAAGCATGCATCTCTGACAGCCAGACAAGATCAGAACGTGTCCGTAGAGCAGTAGCGGGTTTTGTGAATAAAGTGTGCAAGAGATGGGTGCCCACCTGATGTTGACGTTGTCGGGACGCCCCTCCTAGCACTCTTTCAATTCATTGAGAGGTGTAGCATCGCCGCATTTGAATTATCAGCTGAAGCGCTGTGCCCCATAGTCCTATGCTTCCGAGAGTGCATGCAGTTGAGCTGTTGCACACTTGACCCGTTGGAGATTTTGGCCAGCCAGGACATTGGCGCCTGGAACACGGCATCCGTGACTGCCATGACCAACATGTTCTATTCCGCCCACGCCTTCAATAAGCCCATTGGGAAGTGGAACACATCGTCGACTAAGTTCATGAGTGGAATGTTTGCGCAGGCCCGCAGTTTCAATCAGGATATTGGCGGCTGGGACACGTCGCGTGTAGAAGACATGAGATTCATGCTCGGCAGGGCCGCCGCCTTCAACAAAGACATTGGAAACTGGTGCACGCAGAATGTCAAGAGTATGGAGTCCATGTTCAGCGGGGCCCTGTCCTTCAATCAGAACCTCAGCAGATGGAATACCAGCTCCGTTACTGATATGAGCAACATGTTTCGTGATGCCAAAGCGTTCAACCAACCCATCGGCACTTGGAACATGGCAGCCGTGCGGACCATGCAGTACATGTTCTATCAGGCCAGCACATTCAACCAGCCCCTTGGCAGTTGGGACACATCCTCTGCAACTGACATGTCATTCATGTTTGGAGCTGCAAAAGCCTTCAACCAGCCCCTTGCCCACTGGAACACTTCGGCAGTCCAAACAATGAAGGCAATGTTCTATGCTACCAGCGTGTTCAACCAACCTATTGGAAGCTGGAACACTACCCAGGTGACGGATTTGAGCTTCATGTTCTCTTTTACGAACAGCTTCAACCAGAACATTAGGAGTTGGGACACGGCCGCTGTTGTCGATATGAGCTTTATGTTCTTTGCTGCGAAGGTCTTTGACAGGGCATTGAAGGGTTGGAGCACATCAGCTATCAGGAACATGAGAGCCATGTTCGGCAATGCCAGCTCATTCAACCAAGACATTTGTGATTGGAACACTATGTCTGTTACAAACATGAATGATATGTTCTCTGGTGCAGAAGCATTTAATCAACCAGTGGGCAACTGGAACACGTCAGCAGTCAGGTTTATGAAAGGCATGTTCCAGCGCGCGAGCAGCTTTGACCAGGCCATTGGCAGCTGGGATACATCTAATGTAGAAGACATGCACTCCATGTTCTACCTGGCAGTGTCGTTCAACCAGAACATCAGAGAGTGGAATACAAGCTCCGTCACTGACATGAGCTCAATGTTCCGTGCGGCCGAAGCATTTAACAAACCTATCGGCAGATGGAACACATCGGCAGTCACTAAGATGACTTCCATGTTCTACAAGGCCCCGCGCTTCAATCAGCCAATTGGTGGTTGGGACACTTCACGGGTAACCAACATGAGCTTCATGTTTTACGACGCCAGCAAGTTTGATGAGGACATCAGCAGATGGGACACATCGCGTGTGCTTTCCATGGGGTCAATGTTTCACAGAGCCAGCAGCTTCAACGGCGCGATTGGAAACTGGAACACGGGACGTGTTACAGTCATGGCGTACATGTTCTATGAGGCGACGAGCTTCAACGCTGATATAGGTGCATGGAACACTTCCTTGGTAGTCGACATGAGTTACATGTTCTTCGGCGCCGTGAAGTTCAACAGGGACATCGCTGGTTGGGACACGGCAGCTGTGGCAGATAAGGCCCAAATGTTTGTTGGCGCCACCGCTTTTGACAAATCACTCAGCATGTGGGATTTCTCTGGCACGGAGCAGCCGGGGACAACTATTTTTGGAGGATCTGGCATTTCGAAGTGCAGCCTCAAGAATTTGAAGCAGCATTTTCGTTTTCAGGACGATGTTCTCGCTTTCTGCCCTTCTTGCAACGGGACACGCTGTCCTAGCACAAGCTTGGCATGTCTTCACGATGAGTGCGCACCGAGAAGTTTGGGTTTCATTGAGCTTGGAAGCTGCAACTTGCGGGATGGCTTGCAGGAGTGTGGGCGCGCAGAAGATCTCAACATTCTAAATCTTAGTTTTGGGGACTGTGCAGCAAACTGCTCACGTCTAGCGGCTTGCTCTGGATTCTTCTTCACCAACTACAAGTGGGGCTCAGAAGATGGAGCAGGTTATCTTTGCTCTCTGAGCATTGGCCAGTCGTTTCCCACCAGAGTCCATGGAACCACCGAAATTCTGTATGCTTTTCTGAAGACCGACTGCAAGACTTTTTCATGCCCTGCCTGGGGTACGCTGGCTGCGGATCCTGGAGAGGATGTCACAGAGGCCTCCTGCTGCACATGTGCAGCCCCCAATGCTGTGCAAGACAGGTCCAGTCGCCTAGATTTGGAGTGCACTGTCTGCGCAGCAGGCACAGTTCCTGCGAGTGATCATCGGTCATGCGAGGCTTGCCCTATGGGGCGCTATGCAGGGCGCGGTTTCAGCGCTTGCCAATTGTGCGTGGGCAGCAGGTCTTTGCCAAATCAGAATCAGACCGCCTGTGAGGAATGCCCAAGTGGCACGTTCGTGCCCCAGGATTACTACTCCTGTGAATCTTGCCACTTCCCCTTTCTTCTTGTCAACAATACTTGCATCTGGTGGCACCTCCCCTTGGTCGCTTTTGTCTTACTCACTGCTTGGTATGCTGGCCGCGCGATCCGGCAGTCTTTTCAGAGGAAGAAGCAGAGTCGGCGCCAGCAGCATGAAGCGCAGGCGGGCGGGTTTCCCTGGATGAGCAAAAAAGGTGATCCCTATTTGTCTATCTGTGGGTTGCCATATCAACCGCGTGGTGGGTTTCCGAATCATTATACTGCATTTTCCTAGTATGATTTTTACTACTATTTCTTGCATTATGATGAATAGAAGTACTATTATGTCGTTGTCTCGGCCGACTCTCAGGTGAGCAAGGTCATGGACCTATTGGAGGCTGCACTCTGGGACCGGGACGACGAGACGGTTTCCGCCCTCAGAGTCACCTTGCAGGGCCTGGGTCTGAGTGCCTCAGCTTTGGACGAGAAGGTTCGCAAGATGAAGGCCCATCAAAGCTCGGTAGCAGGTGTTGCTGGGCTGCTGTTAGTGTAAATTGAGGAACTTAAATGTACTTAAATCAAGTTATCATTACTTACTACATACCAACATTATGGCAACTTAATTTAAGTTCCTTAGCGGCAACCCAGGTTGGCATGGAGTACTTGCTTTCTGAGAGCTTTGCCTCCCTAGCCACACTACGCTCCGGAAAGCAAGATCCAACATTCAACGACCTCAAGGACGCTTTTTGGTTGTGCGACAATCCAATCGGCCAGGAGGTTCTTTGCCCCCGGGATGGGAGGATTGGCTGCGCCTTGGTGGACTGGTTACCAACCTGCCACCGCCGACAACAAACTCATTTTATGTCGTGGACCTGGCGCTACAGTTTGGGCCAGATTCGAAGTTCTCTGGAGATGTGGATGGCAGATTCCAAGTCAACCATTCAAGCGGAAAGCATCTCTTTCTTCATGTGCTTCTTCGTGAATAATCAATTCAGGATTATCTTGGAGAACCTCATAGCAGGCAGCGATGATCTTGAGCGCGTTTTCAAGGAGAACTTAACTCGAATTGGCCATGTCGTGGCTGTTCTGGACACTTGGAAGATGCCTGTGTACCTCACTCGAGTATCTGGGTTGCTTTAAAGGACCCTAAATTGAGTTACCATAATGCGTACATTTAGTATTTAATATGGTTTCCAGAATATAGTAACTTCACTCAAGTTCCTGAACATAAACCATATATGCATATATATATATTAATAGATCCCTATATAATTAACCCCTATATACCCTTATCATAGTAAGTTAACTTAGGTTCCTTAACAGCAACCCAGGTATGGACTATCTACGAGCAGTTCACTGCCTGCTCACTGCAGGCGAGGTCTGTCTGCCTCTTAGGGCCCCGTGCAAGGATTCCCGGGCATAGGGTATAGGGTTTAGGTTCAGGCATAGTAACCCCTTCTCCCCCTGCTAGTTGTATATCATAATAGGTAATAGTGGGGGCGGGGGGTTAATCCCTTCCCCCTTAATAGCGATGTATTAGAATCTTCTTGGAACATGTAATATTGGGGGGGGGGGTATTCCAGCAAAACGGAAAGGTCCCCGTGACCTTCATCATGCCTGAGACTTCCTCCGAGTCTCTGAATGCCCAGATCTTTCGCGGTGCTGTGGGCATTGAGGAGGTCAAGACTTCCCTTTGCCAGGCAGGCGAGGGAGTTAGGGTATTTAGGGTGTAGGGATTTAGGGCTTAGGGTTTAGGAAGTCCAGATTCAAAAAGGGGTTTGGGGATATTCCCCAATGATGGAGGATCAAATTGAAAAGCACTTGGAAGAGACAATGGGAACTGGGTTTGTGTAGTGCATTATAAGTATTGGTACCTTTTTGGGGGCTTCTATACTGAGGATTATCGTATCTTTGTTGGCTAGATTCAGGCCCCCCTATTTAGGCGAACCACCGGATGGCAAAAGGGGATGTGTCAAAGTTAAGTCATGTAGAATGCCTACACCCCTCACCCCCACACCCCGACACCCCTACACCCCCACACCCCGACACCCCTACACCCCTGCACCCCTGCACCCCTGCACCGCTACACCCACGAGGAACCACTAGAACCCCCCGAAGCTCCCTTGGAGCCCTACTTGGAGGGTCACGAGGATTAAGTAGGTACATATGACGCCCTAAATCGTAGAGGCCGTAAATGACAAAAGAGTCACGACTACAAACCCTAAACTTTGGGTACTGTCCCCCCTCAGTAACAGTTGGATAATATCTATAATACGGTTATAAATAGCCCTTAATAGGACCCCTAATATAGACTGTTACTGGGTGGGGGCAGTACCCAACTTAAACTCTAAACCCTAACCGCGCAAACAGGTGGACGTAGCCGAGGCCGAAGCCTGGGACCCGCGAGACAAGATCCAAGTAATGCAAGCCATTGAGGACACAGTCGGCTTTTTGGAGAAGGAATTGGGGTTTAGGGTCTAGGATTTAGGGCTTAGGGATGCTTAGGGTGTAGGCAGGGGTCAGGGCGTCCTCTAGAGTCCCTTCCCAAGAAAGGCTTTAGGGTGAAGGGTTAGGTTTGAAATTTATTTCAATGTTCATTACCCTTAATCCCTTTAATATAACCTTGCAGCCAAAACTTGTTAATCTTTAGAAGGCCCTCCCAAACCTATCCTAGGCTTTGACGAGGTGAACAAGCATGCCGCTGGATTGCATTGCATTAGGGTGTTCCGAGGCTTGGAAGGGGATATGAGCTGTAGTCTAAATTCCCTGAAGGGGGATCATACGGGGGGTGGGGAGTCGTACAGGGGTTATTAAGGGCGGATGCTAGGAGTTTAGACTATGGCTCATTTGTGCAAGGTTTCCTAGATGCTTAACTAAACCTTACAAACCCTAAACCTTTAAAAAACAACTTAACCATGAAAACAACTAGGCTGTTTAAGCCCCAAATTAGTTACTCGAGCTTAACCTTCAAGGTTGAAGACCTGGCCTGGGTCAGTACCCCTGATGATGGGGAAGCCATATGAGCTATAGTCTAAACTTCTTACAGGTAGTTATATAGCGGCTTATGTAGGGGGTATGATAGGGGTTGCTGAGGGAGATACTAGGAGCTTAGACTAAGGCTCATGTTAGGGTTCTAGGGGTTTTGGGGTTGGGTTCCGCTCTATCAGGGATTTAGGACCTTAGGGCCATGTAGGGCACCTTGGAAAAGTACGTATCGCATTTTTTGGAGATACAGACGGAGGACTTGCAGAGCTGGACGTATTCGTAGGCCCCAATCGCCGTGGCCAACAATTCCAAAATGTTCTAGGGCTGCTGTCAAACCAAGGTGGAACATAATCTGGCTTTGCAACTGTTCCAAAACATCCCTTGAAGCCGCAATCCCTAGACCCTTAATCCTGTAGAATCCTCAGAATAGACCCCCAGAATTCCCAGGTTAAGGGGTTTAGGGTTTCCCACTCTCAGGTTAGGAATGCCATGGTGAGCTGGATTGGATCCATGGTGCAGAACAAGTTCCAAGAACTTGTAAACCAAGTTTGATGGCCATTCCTTTGCAGGTCCTGGAGGGAGGGGGGGCTAAGCTTTAAATCATCCAAATTTCTGTTTCATCTTCCATTTGCTTTTCCGTTCGATTCTCCGTTCCTGGGCGGCAAAATCCCCCCAAACCTTATATATCCCCACATCCCCAGTAGAACTCCACCCTGTATCCCCTTGCAAGGTACCCCTAATTTTAGGGGTCTTAGAGATGGCCCGAGTTACCGGCAACGCCGTTCCTTTCGGAGGCAGCCCCCTCAAGGATCTGCTAATGCATGTTTTTGCGCCTTGCTGTTAAGGAATTTACCATAATATGGGTAAACAGTAGATAATGGGGTTTCTTTATTATAGGAACTAGTTAGTTTAAGTTCCTTAACAGCAACCCAGTTTTGTGGAGCGTCCGAGAACGCTTAATTCGTGCACTTTTCCCTGGCAGCAAGTGAATCTGCGAGTTTGCCGCAGGACCCCTTTTAAGGCAGACTTGTGGAACTTGTGGCGCTGCCCTTCATGTAGATTGGCTGGAAAGTCGGGAGTCAGATTACTTGGGCCACGGGAGTGTAGCACACCGTTACTTCCCAGCCAATCTAAGCAGCACCAGTGTACACGTAGAAATTGGTGCTGCTGCCGTGTTAGCCGTTTTAGTAGCAAGCACGCACAGAGCCGTGCCTTGCAATGCCATACTCAAGAATTTGGATTGAAGCTGCACAAAAGGGCACGTGCTAAAGTCGTGGCCCTTACCTTGCATTTAGCATGTTCGCACTGTGAGATATATCATCTACGGGATGCAACTTCACAATTAAAATGAGACTGACAATTTCTAACCCGGGCCCGCACGGGGGGTTGACTCGTCAGAGCAAACCCCACATTGTGAAGCACAAGCACCCTACAAAGCCTGCTGTGGCCTCAAACCCTACCACCCTCCTAGGTTGCCCCTTCATTACCTTAAATTACCCTTGAACGGCAGCAAGGGCGGTCCTGATAAACCCTAGCCTATTCCGTGTGGTCCTATAATGAAAATGAATCATAGCATAAAAATTAGAATGATAGTGATAGTAGCAATCGTATTAATAGCCGTAAGGATGGTCGTAATAATCGCACTAGTAAACCCTAAACCCTAGACCCTAAACCCTAATCCCTAGACCCTAAACCCTAAGGCCTAAACCCTAAGCCATAACACAAGTAAGTATAAAAAATGGTTCAAGGCCAGCAAAGCCTTCAGCTCGATGGCTCTTCAAGGCTGGACTTTGAAACTGCTGGTTTCGGGTTCAGGGTTCAGGGTTTAGGGTTGATACCCGAAAGAACCTCCAGCAGCATATGAACATGAACTGCAGTCTAAACTCCCTAGAGGGTTTTTTTGGGGATTATATAGGGGATACTAAGGGGGATACTCAGAGTTTAGATTATAGCTCAGGTAGGGGGGAGTTAAAAAGAGGGATGCTTGGAGTTTAGACTTTATTGTGCCGCCTGTGGAAGTTTTGTAGGGAGTCTTGTGACAAACTGCCACTATTTTGCATGTTCTGTTTTGTGGGAATCCTGAACCCCAAACTCCAAGAGGCGCAGCAACAAATTCTTGCCATTTTGCATATTCTTGAGTGCTACGCCTTGGGAGGACCCCCACCCTCTAATAGTGGTATAATAGGAATATAAGAGGACCCTAATATAATCCCTATTATCCCCTATAGTCGCTATTACAAGGTGGGGGGCCGGGATTGGGTTAGCCTAGGATCCTTAGACTCCTAGACTCTGAACCCCTTGAAGAGGGATTATGTAGGGAGTTATCGTAGGGGATTATGTAGGGTTTAGGGTCTAAGCTCCTCAAAGGGGGGATTATATGGGGGATTATATAGGGTTTGGGTTTAGGGCCTAAACTCCTTAAAGGGGATTATCTAGGGGGTATATATGGGATCATTGTAGGGGTTATTGAGGGGGATGCTAGGAACTTGGACTATAGCTCCTCTAGACATGTAAATCACGTGGCAAGAACTCTTCATACCTGAATTCTTCACTTGACTTGGAGGTTTATGGGACTTCGACGCAAGTCTTTGTACGAGATTGAAACCTTGCTTACCACTGGGGAAACCCACATAGCACGAGGTGCGGGGATTCAAACTGCGTGTAGGAGCAAAACCCCAGCAAATTCATGTCAACACACTACATTGTAAAAACCCATAAGGTGGACCCTAAACTCCACCACCTTAGGCCCTAGGCCTTAATCTCTTCAAGTGGAGCCTAAGTCCCAGCATGCTAGGCCTCACGCCTTTCAACTGGACCCCTCTCAGGGACCCTTAAGGGTACATGTAAGGTATATAGTAGTTATATAGTCCCCCTTAAGTAGATAGAATATAGCTTTGGGTAAGTTAAAATAAGATCCCCACATGCCCCACATTCTATCAGTTTAAGGGGGACTATATAAGGATCTCAGGGTGAAGGGCCCATCTAGGGGCCCATGACTTCAGGCCTTAAACCCTGAATCTCAAGACCGTTCTCAGGCGGCTTGGGCGACTCTGCTCTTGAAGTGATAACTCGTGCTGTGGCGCTGGGAGTCGGAGAGGTCCAGTGAACATGGAGAGGGGTTATATATACCCCCAATAATGGAAAAGAAAATGGAAAATGAAATGGACACTGCTATATATACGTAGGGTTATGTAAGGATGATATCGATTTCCTGATTTGGGTCTCGTCTTGGAGTGCACTATGAAACCTGTTTGGGGCATATAGGGGAGTAAGCGGATTTGTTACTTTGAGGTTTTAGGGTTTAGGGTGTTTAGGGGTACATGCGGGGCCCAAATCTTGAGATGCTTGTCACGTACTGACCTTCCAAGACCCGATAGCTTGACTGTTGTATCGGGAAGTTGCAGCGACTGATTTGGGATTGTTGGGAGGTGTAGCAGTTGTAGGGCAGTGCAGGGCCCCCCATGGGTTGCATTGGAATCTTGCTAGAATCTTGGGGCCTGAAGAGGGAGGGTGTCTGTGGTTTGGCAGCTACCCAAGCGAGAGGGTCTTTCGGATGTTGCTGTTGTGAGAGCTTCTCAAACTTGACTATACTATAGACATCTACTAGGCAAGGTCCCGAAATCCTTGTGTAATTTATATGATTGTTTCCATAGTCCTTAATATGGGACCCCTGGCAAAGGGATCCCTGACTTTGGGAAACCCCCATAGAGCCGAAGCCCTCAATCCTAAACCCTAAAACCCCAGACCCTCATTTTGGGAAACCTCCATATGGATTTGAGGCCACTTACGATTTCGAGTGCATACCTAAACCCTCAACCTTAACCCTGCACACCCTACACCCTAAACCGAGTACTGAATCTTCCTGGCCTGCCATGGGGTCCCCAGGCTAGGGCTCCTTTAGTGTTTGGGGCTTAGGGTTTAGGGTTTTAGGGTTTTGGGGTTTAGGTTTTAGGGCTTAGGGTTTTGGGGTTTTCGGTTTTCGGGCTTTGGTTTTTTTGGGTTAGGGTTGAGGGCTGTAGGGTTTAGGGTTCCTGACAGGCCAGAAGGGCGGCGGCGCAAGTGCTCCTGAGCATTTCCGAGGCGATCATATGACTCCTGCCAGACTACACAACCCTAACTACGAACTTTTGAATATGATCCCAATAAGTAGGCAGAACATGCCTATATGGGGATCTTTCTGGTTTTGGGGCATTCCATAGTCTATCTACTTAAGAGGGACTCTATGTCCTGGTATATCTGGGCTTTTGCCAGGAATGCGCAGCTTTGTGAGAGGGAGTTGCGGGCTGTTTGAGGGCAGGTGCAAGGGATGAGTCTGTGGCCATGTCCATCACTGCTGTCATGGTCCTTCCAGCTATACCCTATATGGTAGTTTCCCTACATAGGGGGGCCCAATTTAGACCCCAAAATGCTATAGCCCTTATTGTAGGTACCCCCAAAAAGTACACCTAATTTTAGGAACCCCCCTATGTAAACCCTAAGCACTATGAGCACTGACGTCATCAGGCTTGAGGTCATCCCCACGCTCACTGATTGCGGCGAAACAAGATTACAGAACAAGCTAGTTGTGCTAGCTATTCGTGGGCGGGCGACATCACCTAATTTGTTTTTTGTATTTGGGCTACTCCTGCACGACTTCAGGCACCGTCGCCCGGCGCATCCGAGGCTCTGCTAACTTTAACTGTGCGAAGCTGGGCATTCATTCTGCACACAGAAACTGTCAGGAAGCGTTGACTGTGTTCGACCTAAGCTTATGCTTAAGCAAGTTCTATACACTCAAGCGCGCCTTCCCATCTCACGAAGCCAGGAGAAATACAAAGTTGAGAATGCTCAGAAGATGGCGAGCCGTTCCATGTTTGCTAAGCTGGTTATGGGTCCAGGAAGGCCAGGAGCCGTGGTGGTGGTGATGGTGGGGGGCAGGTCCTGCTAGCAACATTGATGCAACTTGGCCCAGTCCATGATTTCAGTGCAGGGCCCAGTGCGGTTTGGGTTTTTTTTTGGGGTTGAGGGGTTGTAGATGTTACAGGGTTTAGGGTTTTGGCTAACTTTGGCCTGAATCTACTGATTCTTTTCAGACTCTTTCTTTGACACGACTTTGGAAGTACATGCCATGCCCATGATGTTTTCGTGGAGCTTTTGTCATGCTTTATCGCAGGCTCTGCTTTCAATTGTGGCCGCCCAGTGGACTGGTGCAGGGTTGCAAGGAGCTTTCGAAGCATCATAATGTTGTTGTTTCTGCCTTATTGTTGCGTTGCATGTCACGCATTCTTGCCGTGTCATGATTAGAAACATTTCTGGAGTCAGATTGGTGCCCCGCAGATGTCGCCATTTGTGCCCAAGTGGAGGGGGGTGCGATGGCCCGGAAGATCTTCGTGGGCTCGCTTCCGAATCAAGTTACTGAAGAGCTGCTAAGAGCAGAGTTCGACCGATTTGGTGACATTGATGAGATCTTCATCAAGGACCTGCTGCATGATTGTTGCGGCTTTTGTGGGCATGGTCAATGGTTCAAGGCTTAAAGGCTTAAGGAGAAAGTTTAGGGCTTTGGTTTGATTCTGCTGCTCTGGTGACGCTTTGGCGACTACTACGACAACGAGGGTGAAGATGACTGTTGCTGTTGCTGCTTTCATTACTATCAACAGCAGCTACGATGACGACGGTGTGGTGACTGCTAGGCCTAGCTCTATTGCCTATATGCCACGGGGATTTCCGAACATTGGGGGCCCCCTATTTTATCGACATTTGGCAGGAGGGCTGCCCTTTGGGCAAGCAGTGGGTGTCAGCCTCAGTCATTGTCCAGTACTTTTGTTTAGGGTTTTAGGGTTTAGGGTTTAGGGTGGGCACATGTTTGCGCAGCATAGTCAGATGGCAAAGGATTGCAGATTCTGCAGCCGCAGGAAGGCATTCATCCTAATCACTATGGAACAACCTGTGAGTAGAGCGGGCGAATTACTCAAGAGGACTCTAATGGGGATAGTTATACATTATAACCCGGTAATGCTACCATTACTGTGACTGCTACTGCTACTGATAATTACTATGGCTCTTACATCTGTGCGAGGCTTTCGTCACATTCGCTTCGCCAGATGCTGCTTCTGCAGCGAAGGAGGCCACTGATCGACTGCTAAAACTGCCAGGCGCAGAGCGCCGCTCGTCGTCAGATGTCATGCGATGTGTGCTGCCCTACCCCAAATGACATGGAGCCCCCTATAGCCCTCTTTCGAGAAGACAGTAGTCTAAGTAGGGCCTCACACTTCACCTTGCTATTGCAAGCCTCGTTGCCTGCAATTTCGCATAGTGTGCATGCGTGCCTATGGAGCTTCTGTATAGTCGCTGGCAAGCCATTGAACTCTTTCGCTCTCTGAGGTGCGTGCGACGTGATGCTGGCAAAAAATCAAGGCCATGCTGGTACTGAAGATTCTTGCCAGTGCTGCTCCTGCCTTCGCTCTCTTTCTACGCTGCCTCTTCCTGCGACGATTACGCCTGCTACTTGCACTTCCAAGCTGCTAATGCAACAACACTGGCAACCACACCACGGCAACAACGACACCCACTCACTCACTTATCACTCACTCACTCACTCACTCACTCACTCGCGACGCTGCGGACGAATCTCGCAGTGCGTCTTAGGCACCTGACTCTAATGAAGAGACTCTGTACAGCTCACAAGCTGAAGGTGAGTGGCTACCAGAAGCTTTTGAGCTGCTGGCAGAACAAGCAACCAACAAAAAACTAAAACAGCCACCAAGCTAAAGGCAGCAAAAAGCGGAGCTCAACCTAAGAAGGGGAAAAGGAACCCGTTTCACCAGAACGACGGTTCGTAGGAGTGAAACAAGACTCCGACACCCAACTGTGAAACACCACGTCTGGCAAATCACGCCCCGACTGCTGGTTAGGCCGTACTTACGTCTGAAGGTGCCACCTTGTGTGCCTCTCAGGTCACACCTAGCTGCAGGAGGGCCGCTTAGGGAAGAGAGCCCTCGCCTGTCAGTTGGCTGAGGGAGGCCTCACCCTCGCCAAGGACATCTCCGCAAAGGAAAAGTTGTCGGCGGTAGTACTATGCCATTGTTCGGACTCCAGATTGTCCCGAATACGCTGTGGTTATATCCAGTGCACGCCTCCGCGAAAGACAGGTCTCTAGTGAGAAGAATGCTAGCGTACTGTCCCCTCAGTAACTGAGAAATTCGCAGGAGAGAGGACGAGCGGCTCTCTTGAAGCTTTCCCCTAAATCGGCCGTGGTGCCAGTGGTCAGCAGCTGGCTAGCTAGTCACTCTCTTGGCGAGTAGCATGCACCAACTTCGCTCCGCCTGGTGCCTGTTGCCCATTGTAGTCAGGAGAACGATGGATACATACTCGGGAAATACAGGCCTATCAGGCCCTCGTCCTTGAAGAGCAGTAGACGATCGAGTCCAGCAGATGCGGTAGAGGCCGTGCAGCTCTGCCAGTGTTCCAGGTCGTTGCCGAACGCATGTAAGTCTTCAAAACTGCCCGCTGCACAGTGTTCCACGGGCCAGTGGCCGCCCCGAAGGGCTGTGACCCCAGCCGCCACAGGCCGTGCCAAAACCCTGCGCCTGCAGCGATGAGTCGGCACTACGCTCCTGCGGATCTGAGAGTGTCTCCCTGAAAGATGTGCAGACGCTAGCTGCTTCACCGGTCTGAAATACCAGCTCCCCTGGCTTCGCTCACCTTGAACCTTCACCTCTGAGCAAAATGATGTTTCTGCGATTGATCTAACAATGTTCCCCGGACTCGGGACCGGGACGGCCCACAAAAAGTTTTACGAACTTCAATGAAGATTCTTGTATAAGGTGGGGGAAGCACAGGCAAGCCATTGCTGCAGGAAAAGCTACCTGAAACTAGGGCCGAGAGGCTTGGCAACAACAGCCACACCGCCACCACCCCACACCGCCGCCACCACCGCCGCCGCCGCCGCCACCACCACCACCACCAACACCAACACCACCACCACCACCACCACCACCACCACCACCAACAACAACAACAACAACAACTACAACTACAACTACAACTACAACTACAACTACAACCACAACTACAACCACAACCACAACCA